CTGAGTGATCTCTATGTTGTCGATTCTGCTGCTGACGAGGTTACTGATTGCAGTGATTGATTGATTGATGAAGATTAAGCCACCCAAGAGGTGGCACGGGCATGAATAGCCCGTACGTGGTGGCCCTTTTGAGCCATTACCAGTATCAAGAGCTGATACTGGAGATCTGTGGAGGCGCGACTGCACCTTGCGTGACGGGAGATGTCTCCCGGACCAAGTGGTGACCAAAAGGTCTGATTGCAGTGTTGTTGTTGTAGAAGAATAAGCCACCACTAGAGGTGGCACGGGCATAACTAGCCCGTAGGTAGTATTAGATTTTAGGGGTGAATGTGACATTTGATGGTGTAACATCTTGAAGTGTCTCTGGGTCTCGTGCTGATTGGACTGGCTTGTACACAACCTCTATAGTGGGTTAGCTAGGAACAAGACAGCACAGGCCTCGACCCAGGCTCAGGCATTCTTCCACTTTTTTTACTCCTCTAATGGCATTCGGCATTGCGGACGGGGGCGTGGAGAGATATGCTTTCTCCTCTATCATAGGTTGTGGCCACGGAATATCGGAGCGCATCTCCAGGCCCGAGACACGCACAGTTGGTGGCGGTCAGGGCGACGACCGCTGTATGCGTCTGGGGATCCCTTATACATCTCAAACAGCGATCACCATATCAGTGGTCATTTTAGGCCTCAGTTTAACCATTGATATTAGCGAGCACATCACTCCTGCACATAAGATTCTGCTCGCTATTGTGTGAAACACGCGAGAATGGAATTTACGTGATTCAAGGTTGGGTGGCGGCGGCAGGTGTATGTTGTTGGTAAACATTGACTCAGGTGCCTGCATGGCGCCCGGCCAGTTAATGAACGCTTGTGGTGTGTTCTCTTAACTTGCCACAAGAGTCCTAAATCAAACGTCCTAGTTTACCCAGAAGCGCACCTAACTCATTTAGGGCAGCCCAGGCTTTCTTTAGGCAATGTCATTCTTCCAACATAGATGAACGCAAGAGCACATTCTCATGATGTTATGTTAGTGTAATAAATAGAGAGGTAGATAGAGGTGGGTGTTCAGTACTGTGACCTTTAGTACTACTATAAATAAAATAATTAACTTTATGAGCAAAGATAATTTATAGTTGAAGTCGAGTATAATCATCTAGCTTACGTTCAAATAATTGTTTTGAAATCAAACCAAAATGTTTCCTTCGTGGTTGGCGAGTACCCGCTCCCACACTTCTCTTACTATACTATACGCACTGTATGCAGTATCGTGCACTGTTCATTGTGATCTAATGTATGTATTATGGAAGGACGTAATCCTTGTGATTAAACATCCAATAAGAAATATAGATAAAAGTAAAAACTCTAGTTTCATTTCTTGGGAACGTCTCCAAAGGAGGAGCTCGCCCCCATCCCAGTTAATTAATGGGCCCAAGTAGCTTTCATCGTGTGGTGGCGCGGAGTGTATTTAGAAAGTGTATCATCTGCGCCGCATCCCAGTGTTTACACAGTGCGCAGATGGTAATTAAGCACAGGGGGTGAATGTATGAGTGTATATATATATATGTGTGTGTGTATATACCGTGTGCTCTTAGATGGGAAAGTGTACTTCAGTGTACGAGGGTATGGTTACATACAAAGATTGGTGTGTGATATATTGTCCGAAGCTCTATGTAAGCGGTTTGCGTAACCGAGCCCACAAGAATATCACCCACTAAACTTGTCTTGCATTTTCGCCTCGAGCTAAGAGTTTATTGAGCAGCAGCGTCCCTCGGCGCGTGAGCAGCACATACAACACCACTCCTTACTAGGAAGAATCCCAGCTGGGGTTTTCATCCTTTAAACTTCAGTGTGCTGGTGGTTATAACTGGGCGCGAGAGCAGTGCGGGTCCCTTGAATTCATGTACCGGCGACATAATGAGTGTCACTGAGGCAATCTTATATTCCGCCCCTTTCCGTCTCCTCCTCCCCAGGGCATATTTTTTGTATTCACTTGGCGTAGTTACCAGTAATTGCGTGACTGGGCTTGTAAGCCAACCAAGAGCCTGGTTAGATACCGTGTGTGAACGAGTACTTGCTGAGTGTGAGTGTGAGGTGCGAGTACCTGGTGACTGAAAGTACATAGTGCGTGTGAGTACCTGGTGACTGAAAGTACATAGTGTATGTGAGTGGACACTAAAAGTACATAGTGCGTGTGAGTATCTAGTGATTAAAAGTACATAGTGCGTATAAGTACACAGTGAGTGCGTGGAGCACTGCTGTCACTAAGACTATCAGCGCCAAAAGGCCAATCCATGTCTTGCTGTAGCCTTTAAATTATGCATAATAAAGCGAGTCAAATGCCACACAGACAACTTTTTATCTCCATTCAACTTCGAAGAGCACCCATCCCGTCGCAAAGGTTACCCAACTTCCTGTCTTAACTATATAGCGTCAAGCCAACACCATAAACTTTACGTCAAAAAAAAATATATATATATAATCTGTTTTAACACGAATATTAGTTTAGAGTGAGAACGAGTTGATTTTCCTGCATGTCATATCTTTAAGAAAATCTATGGAACTTCTAACAATATTTAGTCATACTAGAGACTAAACTAGTTGAAAATAACCTTGACGATGAAGTACAGTACGGCTTCGTTCACGACTCACAATCGGGGATTCGATTCCTGGGCGGGACAGAAATGGTTGGGCACGTTTCCTTTCACCTAAAGCCTCTATTCACTCAAAGGCAAATAAGTATCTGGGAGTTAGGCAACTGTTGAGGGGCTGCACCCTGGGGAAGGTTATAGTAATTCGACCTTGGGGAGGGGGGGTGGACCTCAATTTAAGCCTAAAGTATATATGTACGCAGGCTGCCTGTCCCCCGACAAAATTAATCATTACTATTATTATGGTAGGGGTAAACCATGTTATCATAGGGGGATACACGATATTATCTTGGGGAGTATACGATATCTTAGCAAGTACGTTACCCTAGCGAGTACACGTTATCTTAGCGGGTATGCGATATTATCTTAGGGAGTAAGTGATGTTATCTTAAGGGATGCCAATCGTTATATCTTAGCGGGAAAGCTATGTTATCTTAAAAGGTAACGACTTCATCTTGGGGATACTCTACTAGGCGGCTTGTCAAAATTCCCCAATTATACCTAAACATACTACATGACGTGGTCATGAAAATATAACCCATTTTAATTTTATTTGTTATTGACAAACTGTCCTGCAAGTACCCCTGCGAGCAGGCATTCTCAGCCCCGAGCATCATATTGAGCAAAAGAACTGCGCATATCTCTCGACCAAGGACGTCACGTGAGTGGGTGAATGATGGTCGTAATCAACACTGCGCCAGGGAATGACCTTCGTATGTTTCAATTATACACTTCTCCACTTACCTTCCCTCTTGTCTCATATACTGACTCTCCTACCTTTGCTAGTCAAGACTTGCTAAAGGTCCAGGATGGAACGAAACGTCGTCACTTTCGTTTAATTTCATATTTACCTGAATTTACTTGATGGGGATTGATTGTTGCCGCCAGAGGCGGCTAGTTTATTATGCACCCCATACCGGTAGCGCAAAAGGGCACAAAAGACCAGACTAGACCTTTATCAGACCTCATCTTAGATTATTACATAAACAATTTCATCTATCCTTCATACCTTATAGTTATATGTGGAGACCTCTAGTAGCCCCGACGATAACAGGAAGCAAACTGCATGTCTAAGATACCCTCATCTATCCTGATGATTTTATCTATCATAAATCGTAGCAGTGTTTTGGCATTTATGGCTTCGGCGGGTAGACAGTTCCACGGGTTTATTACCCTATGGGCAAAAAAAGGATCTGTTTTTTTTGTCCTGCATTGTAATTCGTAGGGTTTGAAACCGTTGCTTCTTATTTGTTTAACATTTGACCTCTAGAAGTAGTAGTCTGGATCAGTATCCTTCAAACTGTTCAGCATTGTAAAAGTTTCTATGAGATTAGCCTTGTCACGTCTGGTTTGTAGTGTTGTTAACCCTATATGTGTTGGTTACGTTATTTGACCGGCTGAACTGTTGTAGTTCAACAGTTCTGTAAAACTGTTGAACTGAACTGAATTTCTTCAAAGTTGGTATGAACATTTCTTAGATTAATACCACACACAAACTTTCATCCTCAGTTCCTTCTTGTTATCGAGTATCAGTATTAGTTTTCATAAGTAATTATATTTAAAAACTGAAATGGTTGCCTTTGCTTTTGATTAAGAACTCAACAGTTCTCTTCCTGAATTACTTGTATTGCATACATATGTGCCTACACAGCTGTCAGCGTAATCGGGTCACAGCCTAAATGTTCCAGGTTCAATTACCTGATGCCTTTGTTTACCAAGCAGTAGATAGATACCCAGCAGTTTAGAAACAATTGTGGGTTGCATCCTAGGAAAGGTCAATAATTTGCCTAGGGAACCTTGGTAAGCCTATGTGCAGGGTTCCTTTTCCCAGCAACGGGAATCAACAACCCTTCCATATTATCCATAAACATGCCGAGAGGGGAATTAGTTACTATTGAGAAGCCAGGTAATCTGGTCCTAGTTCATTGGCCCATTGAGGCTTCAATTGGCAGTTTTCTCTAGGTCATGCTGAAGGAAGGAAGGACATGTTTAGCTATGCACTAGCTGTTAGTAATTGAAAGTGTGTTTAATGTGAAGTACTAATGTTATGTTCAGTCTCCTTAATGAACAGATTAGTATACTGAAATTCAGATGACTTCAAGGAAAAAAGTCCTGCTGCTATCTCCCTGTACAACTCCCTAGTTCGCACTTAGACACATTCAATATTCACACACATAGCACTGAGTAACCAAATCAGTTCCAATACCTGGGACCAGGCATAAATTACAACATAACAAAGTCACTGGAGTACATAAGCTAGTTACATCAATGCCAATAAAGTAAAAATTCAACAAAAACACAGTGATGCTACTTCTCATATCCCCTAATTCTAGCTGTGACAAGAAAAAGTAAGTGTTAAGCAATGATTAACTTTTATTTTCTTAGTTACATATAGCATTAATAATTTCAAAATTGATCTATTTCACATTAATTTGTAAATTGCTAATTAATTTATTTTGTCATCTAAACCCTTTTTAATTGTTCCTTCTTTTAAAGCTTCAAGCTTTTGTCTGAAATATATAGATAAGAGTAGTTTGGCTTATAAACAATGAAAAATAACTGTAAATTCTAAGGATATAAGCCAGCTTGTTGCAGCACAATTTGTTTCATCCTAACCAAAATTCCTAATACAGTACAGTACAAATATCAAGCTCAACTCCTGTAATAGGAAAAACAACACGTTATGGTTCAGTGAAAGATTAAAAGCATTCTGTAGTTTATGACAACAGTTTTGTTTAACCATGAAAAACAAACGAAGGAATAAAACATTTTCAATTTGTTTCATCTAAATTGTTTTACTTTTTATATGTTCCCTCTCTATAATATAAAACTTCAAATATGGCAAAAATCTTATATTGTATTACAAAATATAAATAAATATTACACTGTGGAAAGTTTGGCATATAACACTAATGCAAATTGCAAGCAACACAAACTAGTCAAACGTTTAAAAAAATTACAATAACTATGAGAATTCTTCCTATTGCTAGCTATCTACAAAAGGTGAACATATCTACATTTGCAGATATATTACCACCATGAGCCATTAATCCATTATTCCTTGTCATCAAATAATCAAGCTTCAACATTTTTCTGTTGACAACAAACACATTATCAAATGACAATATATATACAGTACCGGGTATTTATGAAATTTGATACATTTATTAGCAACCCAGTTATTTGATGGCAAAGAACTAACATATGTAAAGTCACAGAACTGACTTCCATTCTGACTAGCACCAATATCAATGTTTTAAATAAATACCAACAACACAGGATATATAATCCTGCCAAACTTAATAGGTTTAAAACGTTACAACAAAATTCTAGCACTGCATACCAAACCTTAGCCCTCTATTCTTCCCCCCTTAAACAATGCAAGTAATGTGGAATTTCATTATTACCCTGCAATGTCTGTGGGATTGTAATAGTGTAATAGTAAAACACAAAACATTTCTCCACTGGAAAAAACACATATAACTGTAATGTCTTTTATAGGTTTGTTACAAAAGGTGACTTTAGGAGTTTATCTGGATGCAAGCAAAATTAATGCTTCAAAAAAAAAAAAACAGCGTTGAATGTAATGAAACGCCATTTTCTGGGAGAGTCACAGAGGCTCCACGGAGCTTTTGGGGCTCACCACAGAAATACATATACCTTGACTCAGGCAAGGGTATTGTGGCTATTCACCTCAGGACTTACTATGTGGAGGAAGTAAAATATGGTAATTATGAGAACATTCGTTTTAGGTCTTTGGCAACAGTATTTAATGTATTACTTTTTTTTTTTTTAGAAATTGGAAGGTACCATGATACATACAACTGACAATTTCTCTGGCATTGCAACAAAGATCAGTGCCACCATATAACAAATAATCTCATAAAATGTGGGTTAGATACACAACTTGGCTCTATTCCTCAACAGGAAGAATCAAGACACAGGGGACACAGCCTTACAGCCAAACATGACCACACAGCTCATCCCTGATGGATGGAAAACAGCTTGTTTCTTTTCCTTTGACCAGAAGACAGACATCAACAAGACAAACTCAACTGTCCTTCAGACCATTGGAACATGCAATCTTCCCTCCCCACCTCCACCACCTTCCATGTTGCCATGAAAGAGGAAGGGCATACAGAATAAATATAATTTGAAAAATAATATACCTAAATAAATAAATAAGAAGAGTGCCAAGCTTCATATAATGAAGATATGGCAATATCTAGATAATGTACAGGAAACAGGTTTTCATGTATGTCAACTTGTCACTTGGATATCATGTTGTACATTCAATTAACATCAAGTTTGACGTTTAATATCTGTAAGCTTACAAAAATATACATTCAACCCCCATTCTTAATGCAAGTTAGAGGCTGTCTGAACAAAGCAGGTATCCTTTAGACAAGGGGCCCTGAACTGTTGACCTTGCAAATAGTATGAAAAATATATTCCCTACACAATACTGTACTATTTAAATACCTATACAAAATGTATTCCTTCTTTATTAAAAGCATGTAACAAAGATAAGAAATCATCTTGATCCATATGCCTTGCACGTTTCTTGTCAAATTTTCCATCAATCAGAATGTCTTCTACTTTTTCTTTCATAACAAAATCTTCAGGAATCTTTTTCTCATGCAGTGAACACCAAGTTTTGTAATTTTTTTCTAATGTCTGAAAAGGAGAGTACAGTACATTAATTAACACTTGCCAAATATGAACTAACTTCTACTGTAATAACAACTCTTATATATCAGTATCCTAATCTCTATGGATGGGATGGAATGTCTTTTTGAGTATCTTTAATCTTTTTTTGTACTACTTTCCTAATTCTTCCAGGCTGGTGACCCTCCCCACCCTATAAAAATGGGAAATGGGGTAATAATAATAATAATAATTATTATGACTAACTTGAACACCTTAAATGAATCTTCAAAACTAAAATGTACCTGCAAAAATACTTATTCGTGGTATAACTAAACTAATTTAAAAACTGACCTGCAGTACAGAAGATTGTTTGAATGCAGCAGCTAGTGTTTTGTTCTTTCTAACAAAAGCAACCCGCAGGAGTCCATCCCATTCTGAAAAATTTATCTTTGGCACTGGATTCTTTGGCTCAATCCTCACGACTGATGACTCGACCTAAAATTAGAGAAAAGTAATGAAAAATTTAAAATGTAAAATCAATTTGTGTATTCAATTAACATGAAACACAACCACCAGGTAAATAGGTTTACTTGATATGGTTGTGCTAGTGGCAATAGATGGAAGGCACTTTTAAGTCAGAGATACAGAACTTTATAATGGTCCAAGACGGAATGAAACCTTATCACTTTCTTTTCAGATGGGTGGGTTGGGTGTCTAGCTTTCAACCACGTTACTGTGACTTACTGTCTTCACAGTGCTATTGTTCAAACTAGACTGCTTATGCACGAGATGATACCTTAATGGAAGATATTTCCGATTACTAAAACTCATCTAGTCCCTAAAGCAAGACCTTGCTAGCTCCATGATTAGCATCATGTACATCTAGGACAATTCAACATTTAACAAAGGCACAGCAAGGATCGTTTTAAATAACCGTCCAAGTCATACTGGTGCAAGCAGAGCCATTTTACCGCATGGGCCCCACGAGCATAAGACATGTTCATTATGGAAGCAGAATGTTTAAATATTTAGGCCTTGTTGCAAGCACACTTGTATAATATAACCCTACATCCTGGGTGTAGGACTATATATTTAAGATATACATTTCCAGGTGAATAACCCTTTCAGCAGAAATGAAATGTAATGTTTTGAGTGGAGCACAGAGAAGGAAGAGAGCTGCAGAGGAGGAGAAAATTGGAAAACTTCAAAAATTAACATCGTGGCTTAACACAGGTACAATGACAGCCATTCATACCATTCCATGTCTATGAGTGTTTGCACATTACAGTCATTTATGTGCCTCCAGACTCTGTTCAGTCATTTCTGTACTGGATTGGCTGTGCACCAGCTGTGGTATTCTCTTACCATCACCATTTCCACAGCCAAACCATAATTTTGCCAGGTTTTTACAGCAACAACAAAAAAAATCATAAAAGTTTTCATACATGGCAGAATGCTGGCATATTCGTTTATTTACAAATAAAGGTATTCAATGCAAGCAAAGATTCCACAGTCACATGGAAAGGCTCGCTTGAGATGAGGAAATGTGTCAAAATTAAACCCAGTTCTTTTCAAATTTGGTTTTACATCTGCTTCCTGGCTGACATTCCAGTGTCCTGCTTCCTCCTGACATACAATCCTCATTTTTTCCATGGGAAAATAGCAGTCATACTGAAGGTCCCTGCTTGACAAGGAGGAGGTTTCTTCAATCTTCAATGTGGCATTGGCAGGGAAGGATCTTTCTTTTCTAGCTAATCCAATTTGTTAGGTTTTCTTACAGCTCCATGCCTGGATTTCTTCTTTATTATAATATTTATTATATCATTATTATAGCTTTATTATTTAATTGCAGCAACCTTCGGGAAAGCACCAGCCTGGCAGATATGTTCACATTTTTTGCCAGCCAGGACTACTACTGCCATGCAATTTATGCATTCTTACCTCTCATTCAAATGGGAAAAAGATGATAATAATAATAATGTTTAAGAAAGACAATGAGTGTGAGGTGAATGGCATCATGAACAATTTGGAATATTACATTAGCAGCTTATGCAATAACATGACTTGAATACATAAAAAAGTAGTTATGGATCAAATTACTAGTTGCCAATCTGAAACTGTAATCATTTATATAAAACTACATATTTTGAGTTGGAGGTACATTCAATGAATTACAGTATGATAATTGTCTGGTGTATTCTCAAGTAAATTATGCCAAGGCATGCATTACTGTATCTGCAAAATAATCCAATTACCAAATGATGACAGTGCATTTAAAATAAACAAAATTTAATAGTTACAGCAAAGTAGCAAGTATTATCAGCAACATGAGACAAGCCATGGTATGTAACAGACATACACAAAGGAACATAAGATTTAACGCAACCATCTCAATATCTTATCATACTGCAACAGCCTAGGAAGCAACCATTACTTTCAACAGATTGAACTATACAAATTACATAAATGAATTAGAGATTAAGGAGTAAAGGCACTGTCAGTCTAAGGAACTAAATTTAATTATCACAATATATTCCTATGTAAATCTATACCTTAGGAGGTGGTCTGAAGTTGTTCTTGCCAACTTTCATTAGATGATCAACTTTTGCCAACAGTTGAGTATTGACAGTTAGTCTGCAGTACAACTTGTCACCAGGCCTGGCAATTAAACGCTCAGCAAATTCCTGCTGAAACATAAGTATGGCACATCTGAAGATCGGCCGATGAAGTAGCAGCTTGAAGACGAATGGTGATGAAATCTGTAAGGAATGATTACACGGTACACTTTTTTTTATTTTATAACCATTCATAATATTAATACAAATCATGTACTTTAGGGCAAAGATAGTTGGATTAAGTAATAAACAAGATATCTAATACAATTATACTTAATTTGTAGTTAGATATTTAATAAAAAATATATGCCTTTAAGTGAAGGTATATAATCTCTGCATATAGTCTGCAGTTAAGTTAGATATCGATTTGAATTTATTTATTCTCAATCCACGTCTGCTACTTAACATATTCCTCCTCCTCAACAAATTGTACATCACTCTGGTACAACTGAACCTTTAAAAAGAAGTCCTATATGTTATCTATGAAGTTAGGAAATCTTATTTGGCGGTGAATCATATGTAATAATTTGGTCGAATTCAGCTCTAAATCAAATGCCTAACGCTGATTGGCAACACCCCTGATCTTCATCTTTTTTCTGAACTGAAATGACCTTGAATTTTCTCACAAAATAATGATAAGGTTTAAAAATGCATTAAATAGATAACTAATGCCTTATTTGTGGCTTGAACATTAGACTCCAAAAACCTAATAACAAGAGTTGTATATACAAACCTGGTAAGGCAAATTTGCCACACACACATCAAACGTAGGCAGATCTGCCTTCAACACATCACCAATCCTAATATCCAGCTTGGAGTGCAGGGGGGTAGAAAGAAATCTCTTGTGTAACTCTGCTACCATTCGCGAGTCCACTTCACATGCTATCACTCGCTTGACTCGTTCCAAAAGTTTTACAGTCATGTTTCCTGTTCCTGGACCAACCTATTGTATGTGAATTTTGTTTGTATAAAATATTATAGTTAGCAATATTTCTAAAAAGTATTTTTCAACTTTAATTAAGATTTATTACAAATGATAATTACACAATTAGAAGAGCGATACATATGTGCATATAATATCTTCAAATATGAGAAAACAAATATACTACGGTTCTGTTGAAGTTTCAAGTTTCAGTCCCATTATCTAAACTCTTTACTGTTTATTCTTACACTTAAAAAAAAAATGTATTTGGAATACTGTATTTCAAATCTAGACATAAAAGCTCCACTAAATACTGACCTCAAGTACAATGTCCGTTGTCTTTAATCCAGCCTTTTCAACCATGGAGGTGATGACAAGTGGATTCTTAAGGATATGTTGACCTAAATCTGTATTGAAAACAAGCCCCTGTGAAAGCACACCTGATGCTGGTTTAGCTCCTTTCACGCCTGCCTTCGTGCATACTCGGCTCACCTCCTTGTGCACACGGCATTTTTTTTGTACTGGAGCCTTCGGCATTCTGAAAAGACATTCAATCTCTTAGACTAGAATAAATGAGCACATAACATGAACTGGACATATCAACCCATGCAAGGCAATTATTTTCAAGCTTTTTCGTAAACAAAATTACACGAGCCTGGAAACTCCTCGAATGACCCATACCAAGATAGCATGAGAAACCAGCCAATTGCAAGCTCTTCTAACAATAATCAATATGTAGAGAACCATCATGACAAGTGTAGACTTTTATTTGCAGATAACATTTTTACCTATAGGGGTTTTAATAAATGTAATACACAGAACTGACGCTTGTAAAAGGGGCAAAACCTCTTTTTTTCCCCATTTATACAAAAGCCTTGTTTACCTATGTTAGATCTAATGAAGCCTTTACAGGTAAAACATCATTTACTAACTAAAGTCCACTCCCATCTTGTAATTGTACTGTTGTCAGCCCTTAGTTCACTACCAATACCCAATACGTCAAGTTATATTTCCCAGTGGACCGGCAGTCTCGTTTCTTTCAGTTACATCCTTACACAGCTCTAGAACACTCCTGAGTGCTTAATACCTTTTAATCATGTACAGTACAGTAACCATGTACAGTATTCTGTGCCTCCCCACCCATCAATTCACATCTGATTAGGCCCAAAATGGGGTAAAGGCAGGGAGGATATGCCGTGGATGGTACCCTGTTTCAAGGGTTCGATTTTGCAAATCATTCATAGGCGATTTAATTAAATCAACTACAAATTTATGACTATAACTTTGAGAGTAACAACATAATATAGTTTAATAATTATGCACCGAGCTTGAGAAAAACCCTTTCAAAGCAAAGTTTGTTTGCAATTTTCTGGCTTATGCTTTTGGGATAATTTTTTTTATATCAGGGTGTATGCAAGAAATTTTGGGCTGAGGATCTGCATGCCTTGCTGTGGTGCTGCCACCCTGTTTTGTATTAAGGTAGTAGATATTTCTCAAAATAACAAAAATCTGAAAATGCCAGAAAAAGTTTGCTAACAGAATAATTCACCAAAACTCTCAGTAGAGGACCAGAATTTTGATCACTAAAATCCAACTGTCTCTGCATCAGAAATTCTAGCTGGGTTAATATCAGCGATCTTTGGACACTCAAATTTTTTTTTAGTTCATTCAAGTTCAATGAAAAGCTCCTTTCCGAATGGTTCCTTAGCTTCTTCCAAAGCCAAAGGACATTATTTCACACAAGTTTAAATTAAAGATTAATACTTTACCTTAATTATATAAATACAGTATTGTACTGTGCCTTCAGTCTAGGGAGATGCTAGGGAGTGTGACCAAACTTGAGCACAATCTTTCTTAAACTGATTAATATGACTATTAGTACCTGAAATCTTATATTTACTTTATCTATTTGGGTATTTAAGAGTAAACACAGTAGTCAAAGTGTTATCTGTATAAATATCTTGTCTATTATCACCAGACTTGTCCCTTTACAGATAAGAACATTCACAACAAGATATATAGTACTGTATTTAGGAGCAATCATTTCTCTCAATAAATGAACATGATCTGAAGACTTTGGTAAATGTTAATTATCTGAATACAGAAATGTATACAGTATAGCCAAATAAAGTTAGATCATCAAAGTTTAATCTGTTGCAAATTCCTCATCAAGGGGATGATAAAATAAATAACTACTGTATATAAAATAATTCTTCAAAAATATTTTCACTTTTTCATTAAGTGGTCATATTTTTGCCAATGCACTAGCCTACAATACTGTACAGTTTTTGTGACCCAATATCTTAATGCACACTCCCTAATTTAATCTCTTATTCTAAGTTTAGAGCAAATTTAAAATGAAAGTATTAATTATTAGCAACTAGTATTATATTGTATTGAAATTTGAATAGAAACCAATATTTGTATACAATTTCTTTTTCACAAATATTACTAGCAAGAATTTTCCTCATACTCTTGTACATTTTTAGCAAATTTTTTATTTTCACACAAATAATTCATAAACAATAGGAAAAGGGTATGAAAAATGTATATAATTTCACTACTCCAATCACCTGGAGATGATTTAGATGTTTGATTTGATTTAAAAGCCCCACCCTTTCGAGGGGTATGTCATCGACACTAAAGACTTCTATCGCTCGTTTGATATACTGTACAGTACAGGGACAGGTATTTTGAAAAAATCCCAAGTCCCTTATTTCCCTTCCTGGACCTTAGGAAATAAATGTGGATTATGTCTGATACAATACCATCCAGTGACTGAACATGCAGGGTAGCCATGAATAAATGGACCAAGTTAATAGCATGTCATACCTCACTTTATGACTGAAATAATCTTCACTTTATGACTGAAATAATACAACTCAGTCATTACTTCTAAATTACAATAAGTAGAGACTTTACTAGGGGATCCACAAAGTTTGACGACTCTTCCCTGATTAGTTAGTACTCTCACAGCTCTCTTGATTTCAGCAACTATCGCAAAATATTCTGCCCGATTTTTATTAAGGCTTTATAACGCTGCTTTTGAATAAGTGCAGATCACTGCACCATTAGTGTTTCATTCCAGAAATCTTAATGCCATAACAATGGCAGTTTGCTCAAGCTGAAGAAGCATAGTTTTCAATACAAGCTTTTACTTCATTTCCACGTTGAAAGGCATTATTCCTAATTACAGTGAATGCTGCACCAGCCCTGCCATTGACAGGATTCGATGACCCATCAGTGTAGATTTGATCCAATTCATTTCTAGCTTTATAAATTTCCTCAAAATACCTGTGCCTCATTTCTGTGGTATCATGTTGGACTTTTTCATTGTCATCTCATTGATGATAATCCTGCATAGGTCATCCTCCCTGGGAGGTAACCTCTCTACAAGCATGAGCTCATGGGGTTGTTCAAGCAGGTGAAGTTCTTTGAGGATAGCACTGATCTGTGAAGCCATTTTTTGCTTCTCCTATTTCCTCCTGTAACTCAGTTTTTGCTTGGCAATATCAGTGTAATGGGGATCTCTGACTATCTTAATTGCAAGCTTTGCATTCAGTGCCTTAATTCTGCTCTTAACACTGGGGAAGGACAACTCCTCTTGTAGATTAGATGTTTTGGCAGTTCTTGGGACTCCAAGAATTATTGTCATTGCTTCATTTTGTATGTTTTCAAAGTTTTCCATATCGCTTTGGGATAAGTGCGCAAAACTAGTAATGTTAGTGCTAAGAACATCTGGATAGTATATGTATCTACACTTTATCACCCAGTGTCTAATGAACTAAATACCATAACTGTGCAAATTATTTATGCTCCTAACAAGTTCAAACATTCCTTATACAAGACCAGAATACCTATTCGACCAACCACAGAATACCTATTTTGGGGGGCGAGTAACACGCTCGCGTTCTCCCACTTCCCTCGTCAAATCCAGCTCACAAACCACCTAAATATATCAACTCCGCAAAAATACTTCGATCCGAGAACTCCTTATATATAGAAATAGAGAGAAAACGTACGTGGCTTGACAATCTGGTGTGATAGCCGGCAGAGATGACCAGGACCACCACACGGCCTCACTTTAGCTGCACATGTGGACTTGTTTACCTCGCCTGTTTGCGATTCATCTATAAAAATACAACAGCAAACTAGATACTTATATTTGTCCCTCTATTATTTTAGTTCAATTACTAAAATTATTTTGAGGAAAGCTAAAAAGAAACTTTATTCATTTATATTATTTTTTTCTAAATATGAATTACAATGTCGCAGACGCCACATCATACCAGTGCTGCCAGATTAAGCTTTTTTTTTTTTTTTTTTTTTTTCTTTTTAGCAGGGATAATCCTGCGCGGGCCCTAAGCCTCTGGCTGGCCCACTAAGTGATGCTTCAGAATAAGCTAAATGTAGCTGATTGGGCTACTTTTAAATGCCCGGCGCTCCTAAATTTTTAATCTCGCTACTTGCGACTTTTTGGGCTAATTAAAAAATAATTTACCCGAGGACCACGAACACTTCTATTTATACATTTATTTATATACAAGAGGGTACATTAGGTTGTGAAAGTTCATAACAAAGTCACTATATATAACACGCATATAGCGTTTCGGGTAGGTCCTTAATTAAAAAGTAATTAGAAGGCACAGTTCAGTTTAGTTCATTTATTATTCACCCCCATACAGTGGGGTGCATAATAAAGATACAGTGTGAGTTTCAAGCTCAAAGTATGAAACTATGAGGAGGTAATTAGGTACTTTTTGATTTTACTTTTGAATGAAGCATGGGTTGGGAAGCATGACAATCGACTTGAGGGCGGACCGAAACGTCGTCGTCCCTTCACCTTCTAGTGTGTGGTCTGGTCAACATGGGTTGGGCAATTTTGTTTAATTTATTAGGGAGTGAGTTCCATAGACTGGGTCCTTTTATTTTCATGATGTGTTTGGACAGATTTAGTCTGACTCTGGGGATATCAAAGATATATTTATGTCTGGTTCTGTTACACCTATCAAGGAAGAGTTTCCGATCAGGATTGGCATGTAGGAACAAGGTTTTGTACATGTAAATACCACACGAGAATGTGTGGAGTGAGGATATATTAAGCATATTTTGGGATTTAAACACAGAGGCTGTGTTTTGTCTGAAGAAAGAGTTTGTTATATAGGATAACAGATTTTTGCTGGGCTTAAGATAATTTACATGATGATGATGGGCTTAAGATAATTTACAATGGCTAAACCCCCATGCACAGATACTATGTTAGAAAGGTATACCTCTTATTGATTATGCTGCGCCTGTCATTTCTTGTTTTGGTAAAGGTAGGATGGGCAAGTTGGAGAAGGTATAAAATGAAGCCATAAGAATTATCTTAGGATGCCCAAGAAATACTATGAATGAGATAATGAGGATGTAGTTGAATCTGCAGAGTATTGGGGATATAATTTCAGAGATAAATGTAGCCTCTTCCATTAGATTAATGAGAGGTGGGGGAGCTAATGACAATCCTCTCAGATCAAAAGGTGGGAAGTAAAGAACAATGTATAATAAAGAACAGAGTATATATGAGTACCTTATGTTCTAATGTTATAAAGTATGATATTATTACAGAGTGTATTGCTCTACCTAAGAGACAATTCACACCACCATGGGAGGATTGTAATGAAGATGTAGTAATTATACTTAGGAGCTACAAGAATTTTGCCCCAAGAGTGAAACACTTATATGCTGTGCTTCTTATATTAACCTGCAATGTTAAATGGAATTCTTGTAAGATGACTGATATAGATTAAGTCATCCAAGAGGTGGCACGGGCATGAATAGCCCGTAAGATTCTTGTATGGTGATTTGTGTATTTGTACACCTTGGGTAGATATATCCTAAGCTACTCTATTCCTTTGAGATGTATTTTGTCTTGTCTCAATAAACATAATTGAACTTGAACTTGATAGTGATAGATTAGTGAGTAGTACAGGAAAAGCTTCAAAGTGTTGAACAAAGATGCTATATATTTTTAGTGAGAGCTTGCGAAGAGCTTCTTTATTGCATTCCCATTATTTTTTAAACTTTAAAAAAAGGTGAAGAACATGGCTTAGCTGCACGCACATTTCATTTTCAGAACTTCCATTAGTTCTAGGTAACCAATTTAAGCTTAGTAAAATTGAAAGCCAATGGCGTCTACTGTTAACCATTGACTGGTTCAACATTTGTGAGGGATTGATTCTAACATTTGGATCGTCATTTTGGACCAGAGCAATAACTGTCAAGAACGCTAATGGAGAGCCTAAGATGCTAAAATATGTTGACCAGACCACACACTAGAAAGTGAAGGGACGACGACGTTTCGGTCTGTCCTGGACCATTCTCAAGTGGTCCAGGACGGACCGAAACGTCGTCGTCCCTTCACTTTCTAGTGTGTGGTCTGGTCAACATACTTCAGCCACGTTATTGTGACTCATCGCCTGCATGCTAAAATATGATTGTACATTGTATAAGAATGAGGCTGTAGATGCAGAAGAATACCTTTTTTGACAATAATAATAAATATTGTTCAACTGTGAAGACATGTGAACATTGTTCATATGTCCTCACAACAACAAATTATGCACACCCATAATTATGTTTCATGCAGCCAGTATTGATACGTTATCCAATCATCACATTTTTATATATTAAATACGTTGACAACCGTATCAGTCGGTAAACGAAATATTGGGCTCCTTTTAATACAAATTCGCGACATTTGCACCATCAGCTCTCGCTACTTTGATCTGGCAACTCTGCATCACACGTCTACAGCTCGTGCTGTATTTATTTATTTATTTATTTATTTATATACAAGAAGGTAAATTGGAGGTTAAGAGAGAACATAGAAATGAAGTTGATTTGACATTCTTGTAAAGCCACTAGCACGCATAGCGTTTCGGGTAAATAAATAACTAAATATATTTATGAGAAGCGAATAACTTACAATTATGATGAATGTATATAAATGTACTTATTAATAAAAATGTAAACCGTATGTAATTAGCTCCCGACAATTATAAATAGTATAGGTTAAAGAATACGGCCCCAAGGTTCCTTGAACTCAATATGTAACCTTATGTAATATGTCCGAGAGGATGAATATTTAGGGGAGTACTCAGAATGAGTATACGCATGGGGTCCATAATAAACGTATTAAATTAGACTTATCGCCAAGATCTTAGCTTAATAGTTAAGTTTGCAACATTTCCAACGTCAGCGCAGTCGAGCAGCATATTACGCAACACCTGAATTTACATGAGAGCCACTAACGAAATGTGGGAATACTGTTGAATGAAGGACTTGAAGTAGAGGGGGGGGGGGGTAGAAATAGCCTAAGCTACGCTATTCCTTTGAGATGTATCTTTTTCTTGTCTCAATAAACACACTTGAACTTGAACTTGCAAAGCTCATCATATAAACTAATGTAGTTTATATGATAGGCGGTTGAAACCATCGACCGTCTCAATAAATAAAAAATTACTTAATTGTAGTTTCCTTGCCTTATATTGATTTCCGAGGTGGCGAATAGCAGTAGCAGATCGTAGAGTTGATCGATCAATACAAGACGGGAGAGAAGCTGTATTGTCCCCAATGAACCAACACTACGAGAAAGAGAAATGACCTTACTATTTGAATTATTTAAAACTATTCATCTAAATTATGATTTTCTGATTTTGCAATGTGCCTCTGATTTTATGATGTGCCTCTGTAACCTTTTCCACTACCGCCCACAGGATGGGTATGGGGTACATAATAAATGAACTAAACTTAAAAAAATACGATGTGGATGTGTGCCAATATATAGTTCATATCTCTATAAAACCTGGTTTCGCCAAGTTTAGAAAATACTAATAATTTAGTACACACGCGAAATTCTGTGGCACACAGAATAAGAAATCAAGGGAAAGTCTAAGCCAAGCGATCACACACCCAGTTAATTATTATATACAATCCATCATTATTCATGGTGGAATCACTTCATAGAGGAAGCTAACGCCAAACAGTATGGCACATCACATAAACAACGAGCTTATCATTCCCTCTCTCAATATTCCATTACAATTTAGAAATAAGTTTATGTAATCATATATTCCTGCCATTTGTTTCATAGGGAGGTTACTTATAATATTAGACCAAGTTCGGTTACAACCGTTAATTTGCAGAAATATTGAAACAATAAACGTGCGCAAACATTGAATACAATTAATTTTGACAAAATAATTTGAGTTTTATAAATAAAAAGGTGAAATAAATATAATAGTAACTTTATATATCGGATATCGACAAACGCGGCAAAGTAGCCGCAAGAGTTTTGTATATACAACAATAAAATACTTTAGCTTTTTTTCTAGTCATTCTTAAAACATGTTAGCTGATTAGACGTTATTAATTACAATTATAACTAATATATAAAACAAAGTGTTTGTAATGTTAAAAGAGATATAAAAAAACAATAAAATTTGTTTAAATGTTTGCAAGTATGGAATGTGAGAACCGTATGACGCCAATAGATTATGCTTACAGAGCACGTGATAAATTATCTACACTCAATGGTTATAGTTATTTTAACGTAGTTATATTTGCTACAGTTTGAAATGTACATATTATGCTACAAAACATGGATTTATGATGAATTTACTAAGTTTTTATTTGAAATTTATTTACCGGCTACACGCATTTGGCAATGAGTCCTGTTCGTATGCATTGAATCTATTTTGATTTCAAGTATATTAATATATAACTAACCTATTCGTCGATTAGTATATAAATATACATTAGAGACAACTGCAGTCATCTACAAATTATCGAAATATGTTGAATAATTAAGACGATAGGAGTATATAACACAAAATCTGAAAAAGTGTGGGGAAGTCAGCGCAGAGATCGGGACACGACGGCTACATGCTTGCTAACGCCAGCATACGCCGCCATACTTGATCTGTTGGAGGGTTGAAGCTGCTTCAAAAAATTTCATCTCCAAACATCGTGACCATGGCTGAAGATTCAGGATTCAAATCTGACGGGCGTGACAGGTGAGGCTGTGAAGATTGTGTCAAGCTTTGTGCAGGGTTTAAGTTTCGTAGTGTATGGCAGGAAAACTTGGGCGGAATTTAACCGGGTTTTCGTAGCTGAATGGCGGCGGCGTAGGTACGGGTGCAATGGATGCCAAGCGTGACTCATTGAGTTCGGACGGGTTGGTGTTATTAATTAATCACATGTTGTATTAATATGGGCTGAACTTAGATGTAAATAGTGTATAGGAAAGATTTTTGAGGAGAATGGTTTAAATATAAGTGTAGTAGGACAAAGGGGCGGTGAGGCTTGAGGCCCACGGCGTTGGTCCGCACAAAATGTCCTTTTTTTTTTACAAATTAAGACAATTTCGAGTGCTGGTGGGAATGTTTTCTCCAATGTTTACTTTGTTATGGGTGCTTGAGGTGACGCTTGTGTTTAATGAAACATTCCCCCCCTCTCCCCCATGATATAGTGTAATATCGGCTCCTATAGGGGTGTGGGTTGTATGTACTAAAAGTACATGTAAATGCTGTATTGATACACTGGTACATTAATGTCATATTCGGGTAGAGAAGACCCCAGTAGTATCTGCAGCTAAGTACTGCGGTATAGGCCCAAGGCTGATCTTAATGAAGGAGTACAACATTCCCCTCCCCGGCAGAACTGTGACCCTTTGCATACAATCCTTCACACGGGGACAAGAAGGCTTTCATGCAGCTTTCATAGTTTGGTCAGTGTCTGACCATTGATAAGCATTAGGCTGTTTGAAGTATTATATGGTGTGTGGGGTGTACTAACAGTTATAAAAATATAAGAAATAAAAATGACGGTACGTGCAGAAGGCCTATTGGCCCATACGAGGCAGCTCATTTATATCCACCCAATCTCGTCCATATATATATCTTAACTTATCTTGAAACAATCGAGGGGTCCTACTTTTGTTAACGCGGTAATTGGTTCCTACATAATGGGTTTTCTATAAAATATAATTTGTGACGAAATGTTCAAAACTCTGGTTCGCAAAACTGCAACCCACGAGCATTTCTATATTTTGGTTTTGTCGTATGACCTATTAACTGTGGCATTAAAGGTCGCTCTGCTGGGATCCTCTAAAACAAAAAAAAAGGGGGGGGGGGGAGGCGCCTTCAGATATAATATTCGTAGGTTTAATACATATAAAAGTAAAATACATATAAAAGTCATGGTGGGTGCATGTTTGTATTTGTACACTAATTATAACAAGCTTTACTATATATTGTACTGTAAATCTATGGTACTGATCAGATAGGTGGTGATTGGTTGTTTAGTTTAGTTGCGTAACTAGTATATTTCTAGTATTAAACAATCTGGTGTGCTAGGCAGCATTGCTCGAGGTGTTCTGTACACTTTCATTAATTTTTCTTTTTCAGGTGAAAAGCACATGGTTTGCTACATTATTCTGTACAGCAGTGTCCCTGATATAGCTTTATATTTTGTTATAGGTGCTGAACTATAAGTTCAGCACCTATAACCCTATGAAATAGGGATAGGTGTACAGGCGCCAGATTCACGAAGCAGTTAACACAGGCACTTACAAACATGTACATCATGCCTCAATCTTTGACGGCTTTGGTTACATTTTATTAAATGGTTTACAAGCTTGAAAACTTCCCAATCAACAGTTGTTATTGTTATAAACAGCCTCCGGGTGCTTTGGGGCTCATTAACTGTTTGATAATTGTAAACAAAGCCGCCTAAGATTGAGAAAAGATGTACAGGTTCGTAAGTACTTGCGTAACTGCTTCGTGAATCTGGTGCCAGGTCTGTGTGCATATAATGGCCCAAAAAATATTGTTCAGCTGCAGCAAATTCTGCTACCTCATTGTATCTATGAGGTTGACTTGACTGATCATAAGTTATTTGGCTAAATTATTGATGTTAACTAACATTGATATTGTAAATGGACATTACCCTGATAGTTCCAACATACTGGTGAAGCATGAACATACCAGTTGGGTTAAATAAGGTGTGGCTGTGCATAGATCTTTCACATTTTTCAATTTTCTATATAATTCACTTTAAACAAAAAAAATCTGCTAACTCTAAATTTATATTTCTAAACAAATTTTCATTAAATAATTTTGATATTTTTTGTACATGTCTTGCTCATTATTTTGTTCATATCTGAAGTGTTTTTGTGTGTGTGTGTTTTTGTGTGTGTGTGTTTTTGTGTGTGTGTGTGTTTTTGTGTGTGTGTGTGTGTGTGTAATTACTAATTTTGTAATATAAATTTAGTTTTGCATTTTGTGAACCTATTGAGAATGCATGCGTAATCCACCTATGTGTTTTCTGCGCCGTTCATAGTCTGACCTCTTGCTACATATTTTCACCAATTACTTTGAATATGTAATTAGTTTATAAGTTGAAATGATTACATCCAGTGAGGGTGGAGCAGTTGAGGGTAAAAAGAACTTGTGTACAGTATAAAAATTCAGTTAACGGAGAACATAAATTGTAAAGTAGAAAGCAAGTGATTCGGAGAGGATTATGGCTTTGGCTTAAGTACTTACATGTAAAAAAAATAGGAAGTGAGTTAGCAAGGAGAATAGTGGTGGTAGGAAGAATAGCAATGCAAAGAATACCAATTAAATATAAGCAGCTGCATGATGCTGTGTAAGGTTCACGCAACATTGTACAATGTGGAGGCATCAGGTGGTTGCCCACACGTTCACTCTGTACCAGAAAGTGGCTCACATATCATAGGCATTTAAGGCTTCAAAGCTAGTGGAGGGTGGCTGCACTTGCCTATGGGTTACCAAGACCAGCCTGTTGTGCTACAAAGAAAAGGTAAGTTACAGAAAATAAAGTACATTACTCATTACAAATATACCGAAATCGGTTTTTGTATATTTGTCTAAATATGCATACACATTGTATCATTTGCTATAAGAAAAATTGTAAATTTATTGATTGCCAAAAATGAGGCAATTGGAAATCTGTATCAGATGTGGAACCGTGATCTGGCTTTTTGAGTGTGTACTGTAGTGTAAAACGCATTGAAATGGAGGACTTAATATTGTACATAAAATATTTAACATTAAATCAGAATTTTAAAATGTGCCCGTTAGCAAGTAGCAACAAAAGTGATTAAAACTTTTCCTAACCTAATGATATTTGACAAACTCTGCTTTGATGCCAAGGCTTGGCTACTAGTGGTCCCTAGAATTTCATGTTAAAGTAATTATTTATCTTCATCTACTTACTTTCTGCTTCTTCTTCCTGCTTCATTTTTCAGGCAACAGGTGGGGGACATAAAAATAGTGGTAACGGTCCATTGCAATGCCCAACCAAACACCAGAATTTCTAGGGATGAATATGATATAATAGAAGTTGGAGCCAAGATTGCTTTTTTTTGGGTATTTTTAATCAGGAGGAAATGTTTGGTAATAGTGGCAATCATGGGTGATAGTGAAACTGATAAATACACTAGACAGCATTTTATTGAGCTGATATGAGGAAGGCGAGCATATGCCAATAAATGCTGGTGTTAAAAAAGAAAGAAAAAAAAAGACCATCTAGTCTTGTTTTTTGCAAATTGCAACATACTGTATCTCGCCTATGCTTTGGGTGTACAATTTGAAATGATTTATGTTGAAGGTATTTGGGCAGTAAATGTTTTTGGCACATTCTTCAGCAATTTTTCCAGCTCTGAATGGAGTTGTTAGTGTGCAATAATAATCCACTCAACATTGCATTGCACAAGTGATTTAAAAACACAATACCTGGTTTGGTATCTTGGTTTCAAACATTTATTTGGCATATTTTTCTTCTAATGGTGTGGCTGTATTGAGTCTTGCATGTGGTTTTTTTAGATACGTATATTGTTTTGGGTGGCCCCTTGAAAAACCTGGTTTACATAAATTTAAAGGTTTGCAGTGTCTAGTTTCTATTCCTAAAAATTCAGTGCTATCTGCAAGAGCTGGTATGGTACAAGCTCTAGGCAAGAGCTGGTATGGTACAAAAGCTGCTTATGGTACAATAGGATTTGTACAATTTGTCTGTCAATATTACAAAAATACTGAGAGCAAGTCCAGAACTCATTTAGTCAGTGGATGACTCATATTTTACTTTTTTTATTTTTTGGTTCTTCAATAAATGAGAAGGGCACTCTTCCTGGTTTGCCAGTTATTCTTTCTTTTTCTTGTGCACATTAACCTTAGACTGCTCAGCTATTTAAAAGTAATACATTGTGGTGTTAAAAAGTTAACCAATTGGTGGGTGTGGAATCACGTGATATGTGCACAAGTGGAAAGTGCATACAGTGGTTGGAGCAGTGTAAGGGTTAAGTATATAATTACTGTTAACATTTGATAAAAGATTTTGCAGTCATTGTATGTTACAACAGCATCTTGTTTTTCCAATCAAGGTTGTCATGTAACACTTAAAGAGGGGCATGAGCGATCTTTAAACCAATGTTGACAGGGCTTTGTAGATTTAGATTAACATGTGATTTGGACTAACTTTTTAGCACAAAGATATTTGTAATAGTGCTCAGTAAAATATTTTTCTCTGCTGCCTGGTTTGTTGAGTGGCGCATCTCTGCTGCCTGGTTTGTTGAGTGGCGCATCTCTGCTGCCTGGTTTGTTGGGTGGCGCATCTCTGCTGCCTGGTTTGTTGAGTGGCGCATCTCTGCTGCCTGGTTTGTTGGGTGGCGCATCTCTGCTGCCTGGTTTGTTGAGTGGCGCAACTCTGCTGCCTGGTTTGTTGGGTGGCGCATCTCTGCTGCCTGGTGTGTTGGGTGGCGCATCTCTGCTGCCTGGTGTGATGAGCAGTGCGTCTCTGCTGCCTGGTGTGTTGGGTGGCGCATCTCTGCTGCCTGGTTTGTTGAGTGGCGCATCTCTGCTGCCTGGTTTGTTGAGTGGCGCATCTCTGCTGCCTGGTTTGTTGGGTGGCGCATCTCTGCTGCCTGGTTTGTTGGGTGGCGCATCTCTGCTGCCTGGTGTGTTGGGTGGCGCATCTCTGCTGCCTGGTGTGATGAGCAGTGCGTCTCTGCTGCCTGGTGTGTTGAGCGGTGCGTCTCTGCTGCCTGGTATGTCGAGCGGTGCGTCTGTGCTGCCTGGTGTGTCGAGCGGCTCTCGTCTGCTGCCTGGTGTGTCGAGCGGCTCTCGTCTGCTGCCTGGCGTGTGTCGAGCGGCTCTCGTCTGCTGCCTGGCGCGTGTGTCGAGCGGCTCTCGTCTGCTGCCTGGCGTGTGTGTCGAGCGGCTCTCGTCTGCTGCCTGGCGTGTGTGTCGAGCGGCTCTCGTCTGCTGCCTGGCGTGTGTGTCGAGCGGCTCTCGTCTGCTGCCTGGCGTGTGTGTCGAGCGGCTCTCGTCTGCTGCCTGGCGTGTGTGTCGAGCGGCTCTCGTCTGCTGCCTGGCGTGTGTGTCGAGCGGCGCGTCTCGGCTGCCAGGCGTGTGTGTCGAGCGGCGCGTCTCGGCTGCCAGGCGTGTGTGTCGAGCGGCGCGTCTCGGCTGCCAGGCGTGTGTGTCGAGCGGCGCGTCTCGGCTGCCAGGCGTGCGTGTCGAGCGGCGCGTCTCGGCTGCCAGGCGTGCGTGTCGAGCGGTGCACAGCGGCTGCCGGCGTGCGTGTCGAGCGGCGCACAGCGGCTGCTTTAAGTTTTGGGAATGATATGGGTATCTAGGCTTCTCCCATACAAAGTATAAAGTGTGTGATATTAGATTTTTGTATTGATAAATGTAGTATTCGAAGAGTTTGCCTGAAAGTCCATAGGCATGCTGTCTGTACCTACTAATGAAGTACATGTCCCTTTCCCTTATGTAGGGTTTAGGGCGATAAAAGTTTCGGTTGTTATGTACAGTACTTGAATTTATTTTGGTTTTCAGTCTTCAGTGTGTTAAGCGAGTCATTCTGCCATGTTCTCCCTTATGCATTGGTCTAATACTGTATGTGGGTTTTGCTCTGGCTCTGCATAGAAGAAATGTGCAATTCTTAGTTTTAGTTTGATGTGTTCTTTCCCTAAATTGCCTTTCTTGTTCTTGGAAGAGGGGGGGGGATGGGTGATTGAGTAGTTATTTTTCTTTGCCTTCAAAGTGAAGGCTGTTCTGATGCCAATTTGCATCTATTTCTCTCCTTAGTGGTACATGTCTTTGTTAAGCATATTGTCACTACCTATTCACTTTACTGACTTGGGTTTGCATTATCCAATTGCTCCAGCTTGTTTGTGAGGTCATAGTTAATTAGTTCCCAGTTAAGTTATTGAATTTAATTGGTAAATTGTTTTTGTGAATTGGAGACACGCTGAGCAGATCTTTGCCTGTGCATGTCTAAACTTCGATTAGGTTGTAATTTGAATAACACGAATTCCTTATTGTTTATCAGTTAATCATTATTAAACATTATTTGTGAAAATGTCTAGGATATTTTCTGGTTGGTTTTTACTCTTTCTAGAGCAAGAAAAGTTTAGCAGCCTTAATAGCCATTTAAGGCACTGAATTGTACCTGGATAAGGTTCTGAGAGTTTAATGTCTTTTATACTTTGATAAAGTACTGTAACTTCATTTTAACTACCCTGTACTGGGATTCTCTTGATTTATTGGTACTAGATACATTTTCTAATTTAGGCGCTGTAAAGTGGAGTCATTGCACATGATCATGTTGGGAGATGGATTTGCACGGTTTCTAAGTAGTATTAAACTTTCTTTTATTTTTAAATGCTTGAAGACTTTTGTCTGATGACTTGCCAGTATATATAAAGTTAATAACTATATTTTGGGTTTTGATTATCTGTAGTTCCACCATATTTATGGTGTTTAGCAGCTCAGTGCAGATGAGTATGTCTTTAGTGTATAGGCTGACCCCACTCTGTAACCTGTGTTTTCCATCACGTCTAAAACGATTGTATTGTTATCCATGTTAAACTGTGATAGTCCTTTGCTTAAGTTTTAATCAATGCTGCAAACACTGCATTTGCCTCATGAAGGAAGGCACTTATAAGTGGATTTTATTCTGCATGTGTTAATGTCTTGTGTTGGTAAATATGAATATTATAATTGTTGACATTTTTGTTGTGGTGTTACGTTCGTAGTGGGGGTACCATGGTGTTGGTATAAGACCTTTATATTTCTTGCCAGTCTTCCACTTGCTAAACAAACATGAGTAGGGTTGTGGCCATTTCCAGAATAGCCATTTGGTTTGTATTTGCCTGTTTGATACAAAATGCTTGACAGTCTTGCCTTAATGCCTTTTCTCTTTAGTGAGCTGTTTGTTGTGGGTGGAGAAATTTCCTAATTTTGGACACATTTACCAGTACTGTAATTGGAATAATTCTGTATTGTTTGGTGGCCATAACTGTGCTCCTTTTGACATACCCTATGCATATTTTTGGCAGGTTCTGCATTGCATTGTTGCCCTTGGTCTGACTACTAAATTCATATTGGCTCCACACTGGTATCTGGTGCCAAAACTTCAATAGGTTTCTTTTTTTGCTTGGTTGTCTCGTTTATTTTGCATTGTAATTCACTGGATCTGACATTATTCTCCCTTAGGGGAGGGATATGATTCACTTTGTTTTGAAAGCTGGGTTTTCTTGAATTTGTCTGGATCATTTACCCTTATCTAACATAAGACTGCGTGTCCTGTGTTGGGTACTGGCTGTTGGAGCACTGCTGCACTACTGTTTGATACGAATATAAAGGCAATGCTGTAGCTAAATAGCTTGGCTGTATGTATTCTAGTATAGTAGTGCAGTATGTCATAGGCCTTTGTCCAGCATATCCACAACCCATTGGTTAGGTAAGGGTTCATTATTCCAAACTGCACAGAATATTAATATCAGGTTGGAGTGATTGCAATCGTTAATGTGTTTTTACAGGTCTCGTTCCCCTGCTGATGATGACAGCCGTGACATGGATGGGGAAAATGATCGTAGTGGCGATCGTGACCGCAGTCGTCGCATGGATCGCAGTAGAAGACCAGAAAGATCGAGGTAGGAAATATATAAAATTAAACAAATTTACAACTGCAATAGTTAATTAGCTTATTAAAATGCTATTAACTTCCTTGTGAACTCCCATCAGGGCATGACCACAGTAGAATTATTTATCAGGCTATCATCACACAAACCTTTAATTTTTTTTTGGAAGCCCCCTTAACATCTCATCCTTTTCATATTGTTCCTCATACTGCTTTCTCATGGTAAGATCCTTCACTTTGGAAATACTAGACCGTCTTGGGCATATGTCTTGTCACCTGCGTTCATTGAGCTTTACTATTTGTACCACTGCATGACATTCCCTCATCCCCCATTACTCATAACACCTCTCATACACTGAAATACTTCAGTGTCACTTCAGCATACACATCCCACAAACTTTAAGCAACTTTTTCTCACTGCTTGCACTATTCAGCCCTCTTCCCTTTTTATACAGTTTAATATGCTTTCTCTCTGCAAAGAACAATAAATTATCTGCACATACTGTACTTGCCTTTCAATAACTATTACTCTTTCACTTGTGATCCAGGTGTTCTCCTTTTGGTCTAAGCCAAATATTATTTTCTGTTACATTTATAAACATGTTGACCTTTTTATAGGGGCACCATTAAACATTTATAATTTTCATTTGGAAGAATATTATAAGCTTGAGTCCATTTTCTATACATGGGCTCCAATTAACTCTGCCAGGCCATAAAAGTGTTCCAAAACAATGTTCAAAGGCACCTTCAGAATCCAGATCATGTTTTGAAGTAGATTTGGATTTGAGTGAAATGTCAAGTTTTCTTATAGCAAATGATAACAATGTTTTGCATATTTAGAGCAATATATAAAATATTTGTATATATAATGTACTTTATCCTGAAATACAAAACCTCCGTGTTTTTAATTTTTTGTTTAGCTAGGGCTGATCTTGGTAGCAAAATGCAGTTAAATTACTGTTATAGTGCAGCACTAAAGAGTTGGCAAGTTTTTCCACATCACTAACTGCACATTTGGTATTAAATATAAATAAATTTGCTGTACTAGCAGTGTTCAAAAATGTAAAATTGAAAAAAAATCATGTTGGACAAAGTTTTAATGTAAACTGAAAGAGGATCAAAGAATGGCATAAAAGTATTGCTTGAGGGAGGGGGGGGGGCTAGATATGACAAAAGGGTTATGCCTCATCACTCACTGATCCAGAAAGTAAAGGGGCCTTCCAGCCTGAATGAGTGCTGGTTGACCTGGAAAGTGGTGGTCTACTCGCTTACTGCCATTGTTGTCTTTGGTTTATTTTTATATTGACCTGAAAGTATTCTTAAGAGAAGCCTAAGCTGTGTATAGAACTCCAAAATCTCAATCTGCTAACAGCAAATTTCCAGCAACATAACAAAGATGTTTTCTTAAGCGATCTAAATTTCTTCATTCTTTGACTAACTTTCGAAAAGTTAAGATTTTTATGAAACTTTATCTACAAAATCTAACCTATAACATGAACCTCCAGCTCATTTCAGCATTGTAACTCAAAAGGAAACGAGGTAGGCGGGGTTTAAAAAGATTGAATTTAATGAATTTAAATTGTACCTCAATACGAAGAACGTGTGTAAAGGTCATGAAAATTGGTTCATGAGTAACCAAAATAAATTGTTCTTTTGAGAAAAATTGAATCGATTATGCCACCAGTACACAAAGTGGTAGTTAGTATTTTCTTCTAACTTCGTATACATGACATGGTGGGCTTCATTCTCAAATGTAGGGAAGCTTTGGGGAAATCGCTGAAGCTTGCCTTGCTTCCTTTTGTTCTTCTATTGGCATCATGCTATTTAATACCTTTAAACAGAAAATGTAACTACTTGGGTATTGCTGTTATTATAAATTAGACATTATTAACACCTGTTATTTAGTTTGATATGTAATTACAAATTATAATGGAAAATGCTATTTGTTTGGAGTGTCATGCAGGTGGTGGTGATCTATGGTGACATCACTCTTGATGTTCCTACTACGGCTGTGTTTTTTTGTGTGTACTGTATTAGTATATTAAACATGTTTTGGTTAATAAATACATAGCACTGCCTCTACCCTCCCTGCAAAATACAGGACCACCACCTCCCACCCTTATGTTGTACTATGTCTTAGTATTATGCAGGGTCTAGTATTTTGCTGTTCCCTGACCTAGGGATACAAATCTATCTATCTTAGGATAAAAATGTGTGATTTAATAATGTTTTTGTTTGTATTTAGGGGTGGTTCAAAGCGTGGGTCAGCAGAGACTCGCATATATGTCTCCAATATTCCTTACGAGTACAAGTGGCAAGACCTAAAAGATCTTTTCCGCAAAGAAGGTAAAGTTTTAAGTTCATTAATTTTGATTTTTAGTTCTGAGAATGTTGTGGATGATTTTTAATGTTTTGCATTTTTGTGTTAATGTGTAGTTTTCAAATTTCATCAGCAATTTCTCATTTATTTTTAAATGAATTCTGCAATGATATATTTAATGTGTAAAAAGGGCAAATTAACTTGATTGTACAACTATTATTGTTTTGAATTGAGTAATTAAATTTATTCTTTTGACAGTCGGTGAAGTGGCATACGTAGAAATGTTTAATGATGAAAACAACCGCCCTCGAGGATGTGCCGTAATTGAATTTGAATCTGTTGACCTTGTGGCAAAGGCTGTGGAGATCATGCACAGATATGAGCTGAAGGGCCGCAAGCTAGTTGTGAAAGAGGTAAGGCTTAACTTCACGGTTATTTTTTTATAATAAATATTTTTTGGTTGCAAAGTGTGGCATGCATAACACACGGTACTGAATATCCTAACAGGTTCATTTACCTGGCTAAAGGTCTAAATCCCAATAATAATAAAGATTAGAAATGATAATGCCTCTTGAGAAAAATTAGCCTTCAGGAGCTGCTAGGAAAGTACTGTAGAAGTTCTTTAAGGTGTTAAAAAATTATTTCCAATTTGATTAAATTTATTAAATTTCATTTAGTTGAGTGTTTATTCATGGAAAGACTTTGAACTGAAAATTTCCTTAATTTACAAACTAGTGAAACAGCTGATTGTAATTAATAGTTCCCTGCTGTGGGAGCAGTTTCTTCACTCGGTTTTGCGGTGTACCTGATGTCTTTGGTAAATCTTTTTTGAATTTGTTTTATTTTTTCTTGTGCATTCAGAACAGGTCAGTGAATGCAGGACTTGTCCCATATATCTTGCATTCATCTCATTGTGAGGCTTTTCTATAATCCTGCAATTGCAGTGCATTGTGTGAGGACAGCTTGAATATTCACTTAGATTGTACCTGGATGGGGTTCTGTGAGTTTTACTCCCTAAGCCCGGCAAGGTTTGACGTATGAGCGCTTGGTCCAGTAGGCTGTTGCTTGGAGCAACCTGCAACATGTGCCTTTTTGTTGTGCATGTAGAGATCTTATTTTGTTTGGGTTGTATTGATTAGCTTTGGTAACACTTGTGAAAAAGTTTAAATGTCTTTTAAAGTTAAATACTGTATCTGGAATGGTATTTGCTGTGCATTCTTCAGTTTGTCATTGTTCAGATATTCAGTGGTGAAGTTGAATATATGGGCATCTAATTTAGATGCTTTCCATTTGGTATTTCCGGCATATAACCTGCCTACACCCAGTAAGAAAATGTTACCTTTATGAGTAACATTTTGTTGGGTTCATTTGTTATAATACTCGAGAGCCTTTTAAGCTGTTTTTTTAATTTGTAGCAAGTTGTCAAGTCTGCTTGAGTTATCCAATATTCTGGCATTTACCTTGATTATGCAGTGATATTTACAGGATATCTACTGTACATCAGTTTGCAAATCTGGAATAAATCCTAAACGCTTTTCAGATCTTGGAAATGTTTCATTTATTTTGTCATCGTCTTCAGTTGGAATGTGGTTTTCTTAATGTTATCAGTTTTTTAATGAGGCTTATTATGACTTCAGCCAATTTTAGTAATAAGAAATAGAAGTCAAGTTGGTAAACTTGCATAAAGAAATGCAGTGGTTAGTAAAGAGAGCCTTTTAATACAGTAACTCTTTTATAGGTATCCCCAGGGGGGGAAGGGGGGATGTGGATACCCCTATGATTTCATCGTTAGGTATCCCCCTAATTAATTTTTTGTAATTTATGCTATATTTGGTAAATGGTTTTGCATATCAGCCCTAAACTTTAAAGGTTTGTGTATAGTTGTGGTCAGATTTTGGAAGTTTTAATAATGGGCTTGAGAGGGGGCGGGAGGGATTAGATCTAATAAACAAGCGAGTGCAGTTGCATTAAAATTTCTGCCGATACCAAGAGATAATCTGTGTTATGTATTTCGCCTTAAGTTCAATACAGTTTTGTGATAGTTTAATTTTTTTTCCAGCAAAAATTGTTCAGGTTATTATTTATAATTGGAAGTCTTGGAATCATGCTCAAGTATATTCAGTACCATGCAAATTTTTGTATTCATTAATCATTGCCATAAGCAATACCTCCACCTATCATCCATTCTCTTCTGCATACTTCAAGATAATTCAGTGGTAGAATGAACTGGGAGGCAAGATAGTGAAAGCAATATTGGAATTTATAGCAAGGAAATTTGCAAAAAAAGAATAGTGCAGGTTGAAGTGCAGGGTACTGGCAATTGATAAATGTAAGCAGTAAAGGATGAGGAACTAGTTCATCACAGTAGTAACAACAGCTATTTGAAAGATATTGCAACAAGATACAGGGACCAATTGTGAAGCTGTTGTGGCTGCATTCAGAGGAAATGAGTAATTGGTCATTCATTCAGAGCTAGCGACTTGAGGTATAATACTGGAGAGCAACAAAAAAGTGCATGAGGAATCTACAACACCTCCCAAGTCTTTAAAATGGTTGTCTGGTTGACCAGATTTTGAAAATCACCAACTAGGAGGCCTGTTCAAGAGACTGGGTTGCTGGGATGTTGATCCTCTGATGTGCTGCAAAGTCTGTCTGGTAACATGCTGGAAATTGTCGCTTAAAAATTCAAGGAAAGGCTTTTAGCCTATGTGAGACCATTACTGAAGTATACAGCACTGGTATGGGATCTGCACCTTGTTAAAAACGCAGGTGCACGCACACTTGCACATATTGATTGCAGAAAACAACATAGTTGCTTGATGTACTATGTACCATCAACCATAGATGGTTGATGGTACATAGTGTCGACTATAGAGGTAAAGTAGAAAAATGCTGAATTAGCTAGGTAGAAAGAAATTTAGATAGTGCAGATGGAGTCTCGCCTTGGGTGCTGAGCAAATGTGCACCGGAGCTGAGCCTTCCACTTCCATCAAGTTCTCGGACATCTTTATGTACAGGAATCTTAAAATATGAAAAAAAAACAAAGATCATTCGTCTACAAAAATAGAAAGAAAGGAATCCCTCTGAATCACCTGTATCATTGACAAGTATGGTAATTAAAATAGTAGAAAAAATCATTAAAATGAAATTGGTAGAATACCTGAAAAATTAGGTAATTAGGCTACCTGTATGGCGTTTGAACTGGAAGATCCTGTGTAACAGCTTAGTTTTTATTAGGCCACAGATCTTGCTGAAAAATATGGTTGGGTTGACTGCAATTATCTGGACCAAAAAAATGGCTTTGACAGTCCCAAACAAGAGTTTATGGATGCTAGAACATTATGGAGGGGTGAAGGGAAAACTTTTGATGTTGAAAGGTTTTGACAAATAAGGGGTACTAATCAGAGGCAGTGTATCAGATTGGAGAAATGTTAATAGTAGAGTACCACAGGGTTCTATTAGAGTCTAGCATGTGTAATGCTCATTGTCCAAATATATACATGGTCTAACAAAGGGAATATGGACAGGTCTGCTGATGATGCTATTCTACTAAGGAAGATAAGACACAATTACAGTGCCCTTCATGATCTGGACAGAATAAGTGCATAGGTCACTTGGTTGATGGTATTCAACATGATTGAATTCCACATGTTGAATGTGGAAAAGGAGAAAATAGGTGCCACAACCTACAAATTGTGTAAAGGCTTTGAACAAAGAATGAGATCTAGGTGTAGTTCAGGATAGTTAACTATTACTAGAGAACCACGTGAAGAACATTCTTAGGTGCCCATACACCATTTTCCCAACTTCAGAATCACTTAGAATTATATGTACAGTGAAATACTAAAATTGTTCATTACTCGAGACCAAAATTGGAAAATGGAGGGGTTGTATGGTGCCCCATATATCTCAAGATTCATATAAACTGGAAAAGGTGCGGACGTGCTACTAAAAGGCTTACAGAACTTAGAACAGGACCTATGAGAAGCTAGAGGTGTTAAATTTGCCAAAGCTGGAAGATATAAGAAAAAGAGGACATTTGATCACTACATGCAAATAGTAACAGGAATTAACAAAATTGATGGGAATTCGTGAAAAATGCAACCTTAAGGTTGTATTCAGATATATTCGGGCAAAGCTGCCAAAAAATATTAGAAGGTTCTCTTTTGCAAACAGTTGTACACAGCTGTAACAAGTGAGGTGGTGGTGGGTGCTAAAACTGTAAGTTGTTTCAAAGCATTGTATGTTGGAATGTAAATGATGATATTGAGAGGGGAATGATATTGTGTGGACCATGACAATGGCTGGTATGAGCCTCTTCATTCTAGTAATGGAATAAGATAACATCAGTCGGTGCTGGAAATGTTTTCAAGAATGTTAAGGTATTCTTGGGTGCCATACTGTATGAAAACTGAACTGTGTCAATTAAAAATATACCCTAGGTGCCAAAGGCTAGGAGGCAGTATAGAGGAATATTCCTCACTAGTCACTGATAGTCAAGCACAAATGACCATAGCCACTCCTCACTGAGCTCTTTGAAATCGGGAAGAAGGAAAGAAAGTTCCATTATTCAAAGTAGGGCATGAGCTTGAGTATGCCAAAGTTTGAAGATAAAATTAATGCAACAACAGAAAACTGGAAAGTGCTGCAGGAAGATCACAGTCCCACGAATGTGCCTACATCTACCACACCCTCTCCATATTTCTAATTTTTTATTATCATCATTAATTATCATTATTATTAATTATTATTAATTATATTATTATTATTTTTAATTATTAATTACTATTATTATTCCTACTTTATTCCCCACTCTTGCATTCATAACCCCCAACCCAAGAAGGTTCATCTGCAACACACATTTACTAAAACATCCCCTGGGTTAGGATGGTGTTAGAGATGGTTGCAATGGGTATGTTTTGGTGGTGGGTTATGTTTTTGTAGATGGTTGAGGTGGGGTTAGGCTACTGGTGTAGAAGTAGGGGTGTTGGTGTTGTGGCAGACATAAAGGGTGTCATGAGGTAGGTAGGTGGGTGTGTGTGGATATACTTAGCTTGCATGTCTTGGGGTTAGTAGTCTTGAAATTATATATATATTTTGTCCTTGTTATTCATTTTAAAGTAACGTGTTTTTTTTTTTACTTTGGGGATTATTTTATGTAGAAGTGAATGTAATTGTGTGATTGTGAAAGTTTAAGATTGCATAAATTTGTTCAATGGAAAGTTAATTCATTCTGGGAGTAAAATTTATTTTTGTAATACTTGTGGTACTTTTCCTTTGTCCTTTTGAGAAATTGGTAGGATAAGGGATGGTAATTTTCAAACCCAAAGTACCTAATAGGACACCTAAATCTGAGGTTTTAGTCGGTATTGTAGTGCAATAACTATAACCAGTGAGTTTCTAAGTGTAACACATCTAAATCTTTGCAGAAAGCAGATGACTTACCACTCTCGCAGAATCGGCCTGGAAACAGAAGGGTAAGGAAGAAGAGAAATGATTTGGAGTATGAGACCTTTTAATATCTTCCTCACAATAGCTGGTATATGACTTGTTCCTATTATATTTATGTAGGGCTCCTTTTGGATATGTGGAAACACAAAGGATTGAAAATACGGTATTTGCATGCAGGAACTAAGAGTACCGAGTACTCTAAAGCATGCTACCCCAGTCCATTTAGCCAGTGCACAGAAACTTCAGAGGCATCACCAACAAACAAACTTAAACGAAGTGTAGGTTATGTCCCATCATACACCAGTAAATGTGAGGAAGAAAAGTTTCTCTCATACTTCAAAGCAGTTTTTCTTCCTGATGGCTGGTTTATGATGGATGCCTGCCTCAGTTGGCAGTAATAATAATAAAAGCTGAAGCTGATGTGAAGGAAGCAAAAACTGCATTGGGTGTTATCTATTCTAATATTTAGGCATTGAAGGAAGACAGGCATGCAGTTTACAAATTTAATCTTACAAAAGGGGATATTGTGGTTAAGGAGAGTTTTTAACATGAGTAATAATCTTGACATTTCATGTTAGGTAAATCAAAATTTTAAATAGTGCTATTTTTAAGAAAATATAAATTAAAATTGTCAGTATTGTATAGAAAATGTATTCTTCCCAAATTTTACATGAGGTATAAATTTTTGTTCCTACTTAAACTGATGAGGGGAATGTGGGTGGGTTTTTTTACTTCGTGTGCCTAGCGAGTGTGTTAACATGCATTGGCCATGTGGCTGGTGGGGTGGGTGAGCATTGGCCATGTGGCTGGTGGGGTGGGTGAGCATTGGCCATGTGGCTGGTGGGGTGGGTGAGCATTGGCCATGTGGCTGGTGGGGTGGGTGAGCATTGGCCATGTGGCTGGTGGGGTGGGTGAGCATTGGCCATGTGGCTGGTGGGGTGGGTGAGCATTGGCCATGTGGCTGGTGGGGTGGGTGAGCATTGGCCATGTGGCTGGTGGGGTGGGTGAGCATTGGCCATGAGGCTGGTGGGGTGGGGAGGGGCTGGCAAGCATACACAGTCTGGCAGGTTAGGGCAGGGGGCATTGACAGGTATTAGCTTAGCTAGCTGGTGAGTGGTGGGGGTTAGGATGTTGGCATGCATTGGCCTAGCTGACTTATTGCTTGGGGCAGATTGGCATAAAAAGACAAGTTTTTTTATTCAAAATTGGCAACGCATCAAAATATTTAGTCGGCAAATATCTTCTAAGTAATGGGTTGTTGCCCTGTTATCTTTGGTTCCCTCATAAGCTCTGCTACACTATGCTTAATTTTTAGGATGCTGGAAGAATAGGGGGGGGAGGGAGCATTTGGTCGGTAGACGTGAGTGATGCATTACTTGTGACTTATACCAAATTGCGTTCTTACCTAGTTGGCTGTTTCATGTGACAACTTCATGGTGCAGGAGTTAATGAATTATTAACATTTATGTGAAATTATTTAACTACTGTACACACTGATATCATGGGGAAGGGGAGGTGCACGCAGCTCACATTGTGTTTATCAGGACTCCAGTACACATTAGCCATAAAAAACTGCGGCATCCTTTCCAGCTGTGAGAATCACGGTACTGCCAGAGCAATCAAGGCTGACATATGTAGGAGCTTACAGCACAGCTGTGAAAGTCTGGGCCACAGCATCACTTTATAATGATGAATAAAATAAGCAGCAAACTATTTTTGCATAGATGATTTTGACTAATACAAATTGTACAACATTGAAGGGAAGGGAACTATCAGAGGGAAAAGCACCAAGCCATTACGACTATATAGCACTGGGAAGAGGGTCAAGATAAGGATTTGGGACGGGACGGGAGAAGGAATGGTGCCCAACCACTCGGACGGTTGGGGATTGAACACCGACCTGCAAGAAGCGAGATCGGCCAGTCCAAGTAGTTGGGCATACATATTTCAATTTTATGCTCCATTTACATCTGGAATGTGATCCTGGAAAGTGAGATGCCAAAAAGACTAATAAAGTCTTATCCACAAATCAGTTGGATAATATAGGAATGCATTTCATAGAAATTCGTTACATCCAAAATTATACAAATAATTCTGGTAACAATCCATAGTAGTAGTATATCAGATGTGTTTTTACTAGATAGAAGCTTTATTCCTAATTGTTTAATCATGAATAAAGCACATTTCTCCAGTTGTCCTAAACGTGTCGGCACTTCAATCCTGTCTCTCAACTGTCAATCAACTGATGTACAGGTTCCTGAGCCTATTGGGCTCTGTAAGGCATGCCTTTTCTGGGTTTCTACCCCATTGAGTCAATTGTATACAGGCCCTTTATCCCATAATCCCTTTTGGACTTCAGGCTTGTGTGCTAAAAAAATAGTGGACCTTCTCAGCTTTGGATATAGTGAGGTATCCCCCTCTTTTTAGAGGTTGATGCATTCTGGCTGAGATGACATTACTTCATAAGGTTTGGAAGAGTTGTGCTTCTGAGTACTTTGGCTATTGCTGCTGTGGTTGGGAATATGTAGTTTTCTCAATTATATGCATTTCCTGTGGCTTGTATGTTGTTTTCAAGGTGGTCTTGAGCCCTTACCAAGGGTTTCACCATTTACTTCCAGTGTTTGCTCCCACCCTTAAATGGTATACATGGAGTTGCTTAAATGGCATTTTTCTCATTTGTCAGCAGACACATGGTGGCTAGTAGTGGGGGCCTTTGGAAAATTGTTCCTTTTGTTTTTAGTTTTGGTCATGTTTGGGTTGGCTGTTTCTCTACCAACCTGACAAAAATTGCTTAACATTTCAAATACTATACTTTACCTAGTTATCAATTTTCTCTTTGTATCATAAACTGCTATAAACTTGCTTTCAATATCTTACCATTTTGTGTAACCCATCAGGACAGACGTAATCTAATTCATGTTGAATTTCTTTACGTTCGAGTTAAGCAATGAATAAATACTCAATGAATTGTCTGATACTTTCTTGGATTGGTTAGCCATTATGTTCATGGTTCTTTGGAATATTTAGGTGCATGTTCCATAATTTTCCAAAATACTTTATACTGATGAGGTAAGTGGTTAAAGAACAATTATTCATGAAGTAATTTTTTTTATTTATTGTTTTGAGGCTTAGAGGGGGGGGGGGGTGAGGGGGAAGAGAGATATTTGGATGGTTTGGAGTCAGCTGGTAAGTACTGTATTACATTAACAAAGAAAAGTCTAGAAATAGTTGTAGATAAATTTTAAGCTTTTAAAAGTCTGTGTTCAATTAAGGTGTGTGGCAATTTTGTGAAAATAATGCCCATGTTTGGTAGAAGTCTTAAAAGCATATGAAAATATGAAAGCATTATAAGGTTCAAGTATGTATGGAATGGAATTCTTCAATAATGAGCTACTGCTACCTTGAATATTGTTTTTTAAGTGAAGATCTGAAAAGTTCCTGGTAATTTTCTGTACACTGTTAAATGTTAATATTAATTATTTTAATTTTGCAGGGTGGGGCTGCTCGCCAGGAGTTTGAATCAGATAGAGACCGCCATAGAGGTCTGATGAAATCGGATATGAGAGGAGGACGTGACTTTGCTCGCGGTGCAGATTTAGGTGGACCTCCTGCAAATAAATACGGAAACACCTATGGTCTGTCTACTGTGTTTTTGGAATCACTTGGAATTACTGGACCTCTAGTCAGCAAAGTTTTTGTGGCAAATGTAAGTATATACAGTATTGACATTTATAAAACTTTTATCATTTTGTTTCCATATTCATGAATGTGTGTGGCACAAAGTTCATATGGTTATGGCTATTTTTTCTCGAGTGATTTTGAAGAACATTATATATTTACTTATAATGACAATCCGGTTTCATTGTTTTGATTTGTCTGGATGTGGCCATTGTGATTTCTGCGAGTTGTTAGTATTTTCCGCTAATGTTTTAATCTTTATTCCTAAAGAATGCAAGTTTTGGTAAATTGTATAGTTAGTTAACTATGGTGGTAGGAATTGTAGGATATTTACAGCGGGAGGTGGGAGTAAGACAACGGGTTGTTGAACGGGCTCGGGACGAGACAAGAAGAGTTACAGAAGAAATGACTGAAGTTGTTGGTTTATCAAATAAATTTGTAGATATTTAAAAAAATTGGCAAATTTTTATAAATATGGTACTAGTTTAAATGCTGTCTACACTCATCCAAATTATATGGGGGCTCACACTTATTCAAGTTATTTGAACTTTCTAATTGGCTGAATTTTTACTGAAAATGTCCAGAACTAAAAAAAAAAATTGAATTTGCATCTTTATTTTGTAAATGTTTCATATTTTGGGGAGTTGAGAAGTCAAATTCTGAATGAGACTTCATTTCATTTTGAAGCATATAATGTATTTCAGAATTTGATGCAATGAAAAGATTTGCTTCATTCAATAGTTCACTCATTTGTCCATTATAATTTTTTTTTTAAATATGATGGCACATAATGATTACAAGAATGAAATTAGTGTTGTATTGTTTGAGCTAGTAAAAATAATAATTAGTATAATATAATAGTTTGGATGCAGTTGAAAAGTTGTCAGGTTCCAGTCATGAATGTTGCTTGAGCAAGATTTGCTGTGCTAATTCTTTCAAATGGCAGCTATAAGTATGCAGTATTACTTTTTTTGCATTGATATTGCCATGTCAGGTGTATTGTAGATATGACCTTGGTTATGTGTTGTACAGGGATATTATGTACATTATGTACAGAGAAAATAGGAAACTACAGTAGGTAGGACAAATCTATCAGTGAAAATAGACTAGTTTGGATATGAATTTTTAAAGTTTCATGAACTGCCTAGAAGGAAGATATGCGAGGGTGAACATATGTAGTCGACTAAGAAATGGTTTAAAATATTTATTAAAATGTAATTTCATATGTCTGAATTTGATGCAATGAAAAGTTCTAAAAGTTCTTGTTCTAAATGTTTCACTAGTTTACACAGTATCATTGATTTGGAAATTGTACTATTTTGTCGTACTATTGTATTGTACTGTATACTACTATTGTATTTTAATTTTACATATCGTTGGTTATAATTTAAATTTAATGATTAATACATAAGTGTAGTCATGATTTTATTAATGCAATAAATAGGGTATTTAATAGCTTTCTATTTGTATTTGCAGCTTGACTACAAAGTTGACGATAAAATGCTAAAAGATGTTTTCAAGATTGCTGGCAAGGTTAGCTGCGTGGAAATCAGTAAAGACCAAGACGGAAAGAGCCGTGGATTTGGAGTTGTTGGTATGTTGTCAAATTGATTTAGTTTGCTATTGCAATGTATGAATGTGAGGCTGATAGTATTCCTCCACAGTACATTTTTGTTTTCCACTTTCATGGGGTGTAGTCATCAACTTTTATCACTTTTCACTATCACTTGCACCAGAGCATCCAACAGCAGAACAAAAAAAATCATGTCTTCAGGCACATTATTGTGACACCATAGTTTATGTTTTGGCATTTTGATGCCTTTGGGGTGACTAGCCATTTTTCCACTAGAAATTTAAGAAAATAAGGATTGCATATAAATTCCAATGATTACCTAAATTTTATATCTGGCTATTTCCTTTAAATCTTAAACCTTCTTTTAATTAGGAAAGCCTCAATTAGAAGAATTTTGTATTGACAACAAAGTTCTGTGTATTGATGTTATTAACTTACAAAGTAGAAACTTGCAATATTTTAAGAATTGCATATTTAAGAATTTACTATATTTAGTATTGAATCGTCAGTTTTAATTTTAGAAATTCACTAAATTTTTATAAGCATTATATTTGATGCTTCCTGAATAATCTGTACCATACACAATTAGATTAACTTCAGTTTCTACATACAATATTTGAAATTGGTGTGATTATCTCATGAAAGTTTAGTTTGTATGATATTAGGCAAATTTTAGTTTTAAATTGCTGTTCTTGTTCTTTAAGTATGATGACTAAAATACTTCTGACCAATTTGATGTTCAAGTATTCGTACTATCTGATTTTGATAACCCTGGCTAATATATCATGTATTATGGGGCATTTGTTTATTTTAAATTTGTTTTCTTTCAGAATTTGAGCATCCAGTGGAAGCAGTACAAGCAATTTCAATGTTCCACAATCAGAATTACTATGATCGTAAGATGAGTGTTCGGATGGACAGAGTTACTGAGAAACAAGAATCGTCTTCTGCAAAATTGCCTCCTGGGTTAAAGAGTCTTGGAATGGGGCTTGGTGTTAATGGATCTGCACTGACGGATGTGGCCAGTAGGTGCCTTTTTGTTTTCATTAATTTTTGTGGAGGAATGTGGAGATAAAATGTCTGCATTTTATTGCTTGGTTGTATTAAAATGTTCAGATTAGAAATTCAATTTTCTTACTCTGGAAATAGGCTAATATTAAAATGCAGGCTTGTAGAGGTATTGGAATACAATATACATACTGTAGTGCATGTGTGTGTGGGTAGCACACCTGGAAAATTTATATAGCATGGGAGTTCTGGTATTAGTGTTTCTTGAATTAGGGGGAATTTTGATTAGTCCTTGGCATAAACACGTGGTAAAGGTTGGTGTCGTGTCGATTGTGGTTAGAGGACTTGTTTCCGCTTCAAAAAAAGAAAAGCAAGTTTGAGTTTTCTTGGGTATTCTATAGGCAACTTACTTTGATAAATCTGGGAAACAAGTGTTGATAAACTACAGCACTAGAATGTTTTATCTTGAGCTCAGTTCTCTATGAATGTTTTTTTGCTCATTTGATGTTTACTATGAATTGTTAATTTTTGTTTAACCTGCAAACTAGTGTAGGTATTTCAGTTGACAGGATATTGTACTCTTCTAATCGTTACGACATCATTGGGTGACATGATGACTACTTTCTTCTTGCAGATAATGTTCCCTCCCTTAATACACGTATCACTGGAGGTAAGGTGGACCGTGTGGTTGGGATTTTTTGGTGCTCTTGATCCTCACTGGTTTTGATTAGGTCGATGCTATAGTTAGTTTTGTCTGGTGTTGGTATATGTAAAACCCTCCTAGTTTTGGTCTTTGTGAAGTTGGTGTAGGATTATGGGAAAGTGTAATAGCTAATCACTTATGCTCAGACTAACTCATGTTTTAACTTTGTAAAATGCTTTATATACTGTATTAGTTTTCCTCGTATTTTGGTAGATTGTCCAAAATGGAGGAAAATATACAAAGATTAAACTTGTGAGTTAGGTGTATCCTTCATGTTTTGGGATTGTGTTAGTAGGCATAAAGTTCTGTAGGCTTGTTGGAAATTGTATACATACTGTTTTTACTCTTAGGCAGTTTTGTGTATGATAGGGAGGCTTTTGATATTTGCTGGGTCTGCTGGTGAATTTGAGATATGGACTGACTTGCTTGCCCTAATCTTTTTCTTGTCTTTAACTTCTGCTGATCTTGCAGCACAGTTAATCATTGTTTGATTTTTCTTTTATTAGGAAAATTTGGAATATAAAGCACGCCTGGATGCATAGTCACTATTTTTGGGTGCAAAGGTTCAAGAAATGCTATAACTAGCAGATTCAAAGGCCTATACATGGTCTCAGCCCATAGCTATTCAGTTACAATTATTTTAATATACTGTATTCTGTTATAATGAATTTTGTAGATATATTCATTTAACATAGTTGTTATACCCACCACCTTTGTAACAATGTGAATGCAACCATCCAAATTGCTTGGTTTAATACACTTTTCTGCAGTCACAAGGTTGTGTGCTGCTGAACAGCCTGCATGTGTTGCAGCTTGTACGGAAATTTAACTGCAATCTTTATGCCACACTTTTTCTAAGATACGTGGGCCAGGGAATACCATTCTTGATTGCCTTTGCAATGAAAAGGGATGGATGGGGAGGGAGAGGGGAAGGTAGGGATGGAGGAAATCTATTTTTCAAGTGGTAAGAAATTTTGATAAAATGTGTGAATTCCTTAGTACAATAGTGAACTTTAATCCTTATTATGATAATCTAAAAAATCGAGCAGAACTCGGAATTGTCAAAACATTGAGTAGTCACGTTGAGAATTCGAGCATCTTTAATTTTTTATCTATATATTTCTTATTCAGTCTGCTTTTATGACATTTTCATTTATATTAGCTACTCTTTATTCTCTGAACTTCTTGATTGAGTTCTGGTTATGGTTTTGCATTAAACCATGTGTTTTTATCCTCTAATAAATAACACCAGATCATGTACTAGCTCCTTCTTGCTGGAACGTGCTAAATCTAATCACTTATGCATTCCTATGATGCTAAAACACGTCATCAGATTACTGTTAATTTAAATTAACAAAACATTCATGTATTCGTTGCTGTCGTGCATATTTATTACAAGTACATGTTATTTTGCATCTGTTCTCTTATAACAGGTTTGTGGACCTTTTTTAACACCAATTTATAGTTATAACCAAATGAGTAACTAAAAAGCTGACGTGATTGTAGGTGTTTTTGTGCATTTCTGAGCGGGACTACCAAGTGCCCTATTTGCACATTTGGGAATGTGCAGAGGAGCATAAACTATTATAAATATACTTCTTATTCATCTGTTCTCTCTACAATTTGAGAATATTTTGACACCAAATATATAGCTGTAAACCAACAAATAATTGAGGAAACATTAATGAAATTATTATTAAAAACAAAAAACACTTGTCATCGCTGAGTGGCCTGTGAGTGGCACAAGGAGCCCAGAATGGTTATGCTCGGGAAGAGGGGGGGGGGGCAGACTGTGAGTGGGTTAATACGATAATGGTTGGACCAATAATAAGACATTGTATCAACACTGCCACAAATTTGCGTGCTGGAAGGTTGTCACTGATAGTTACCGTCCTTGTTTTCTCGAAGACTTTATGCTTGTAAATACAAATTATAAATTGCCTGGGAATAAAATTTTTGTAGTACGGGCTTGAAATATTAAATTTAAATATTAAAAATCTATTCATGTTAGCTTGATTACAACAAAATTGCAATTAAATATAATGGTGAAATTTATTTGTGGGTGGTTTCTGGTTGTGTGCGTGTTTTCTTTCACATTACTTAAAAAGTTAATACTACCACTATCTCCGGTCTTTCCATATTCAGGGTGTTAGGATACATCATAATTAATACATGCATTGAAGGTCTTCATTGTGTGAAATCCAGCCTTTCACTGTTCTGTACTAGTACTCTGTGGGCCACTATGGTCTATATAGTTCTGTATTCTATGGGCAACTGGTATCAACCCCATAAAATCCTTTACAAAATACTAGGACATCTGTTATTTAATGTACTGAAAATACCTGATTTAAAATTATTACTGTATGTGCATAGTTCAGTTCATGCACATATAGTTTTTGATTAAAGCCGTCAAAGAAAATCCAAAGTGAAATTGACAGCAATTTTTTTTATTATAAAAAATGTGGTTGCAGGTATTTTTTTATGTAGTACCTGATTTCTGGGTGGGCACCTTCCCTCCCAACTGTTAAACTTGGTGATTTGGCAAATGCAAAGAAACTTTATTTTTATTGTTATATTATTAAATGGCAATACATTCAAATGATATAAAAGCAAAGATAGCACTTTTGCTGTTATTTGTTTTGTTTTAGCGCTATTATTTGGGCTATAATTTGTCCAGTTCAGTTATCCGGATGTGACTAATTTCACCCCCCCCCCCATCCCTATCATCTGGCCTAAGGGGGAGAAGGATGAATGACCCGGTGTATTTTGCCTCTGCTACAGTTAGTCAGCAGTGCCTAGAATTAGTGCATGATTTCGACATCCTTCTTCAGTGTTCTCATGAAACATCTGGTAATGTCTTGGCCAAATTTTTAACTAGCAGTCTGCTGATGAAATGTATTTCTGCTTGAAGAAATGACTAGTAAAAACTAATGCAAGTCATGTTCCCATGTTTTCCAGTCTTATGTCTCATCTCGGAGGTGGTGAGGGATTGGGGTACTTTTGTTGTTGGTCCAAAGTGGGTGGCGGTGTCGAGGATTGCCGATGGTGTCTTTGGTCAGGTACATTTTATAAATGGTCGGTTGTTGTCAGGTTGCTGGTGGTGGTGAATGGTCTTTTAACACTTTCGCATTCCCAGCGTGCGCTCCCCCAGCCTACCCCAAGGTGGGCTGAGCGTTTTGTGTGAGCGGGTGGTCACACACAAATGTCTTTACTCATTTAAGTTTTCTCTCCTCATTTTTCGTTGTACATGGTTCATTTTGGTATCAAATTGTTTGCAATAGAATTAATTCCCTACAGGGGTGTATGTATATAAGGTCCAAAAGCCCAATGTGCCGCCTGCACCAAACCCAAAAATCGGTCGAGCGTTAACCGTGAGTGTGCGACAACAATTAAAATGGTTATTCTTTTTAGTTCTCACCTCAATGTTAATGGTGTGATGTTCATTCTGGTATCAAATACTTCGTAATCTAAAGGTGCGCATTTTAGATCACATTTTTTAGGATCACTCCAATAATGATCAAGTAAAAAAGAAAATTTTAACATTTTAATTTTGGATGCCACATGCATCTCGCCGGACCTCCGCAGAGTTATTTTGTTGTGGTGTCATCAGAGGTGGGTGGTATTCAGATATCTGAAATGCTCAATCATGCATGGAATTCTCACCAAAGAAAAATTAAATGGTAATTTAAAGAAATTGAGCAAAATTAGAACAAATGTGATGAAATAAAGTCCAAAATGCTTTTGTCACATGCAAAATCATAATAAACTAGTATTGAACTAATACTAATTGCAGAGTTCATACGTATTATGAAAGAACAGTATGAAGCGTTGTTTACCACCATGAAAGAGAAACTTTAAATAAAATATTGCTCTGCCCTTGCATTCCCGTAAAAGACCATCAAAATTGTAAAGATGAAAATATTTCATAGATTTTTCATTGATCAGTGAAACACTTGAACTATCAAGACTGCTTGAAATCACTCGAATATTACTCATTAATATTGGCAAGAAATACCTCTTCATAGATAATGAGAAATACTGGAAGGTCATGAATTAAACATCGTCAATTATATTACAAAATAATGGAGAGAGAGATGGTATGATACACACTGAAATCACATTAACGTGATGTATTCATGAGAAAATTAGGAGATTCTTTGACGAATCCATTCACTTGGTACTCCCAAGCTAGAGTCCTAGACCACTACATGATATGGTAAAAAAAAAAAAAAGCAATACGACCTGGGAATCTACTGAATCCACTAAGACCCTGTGGCTCCCAACTGAAGGCCAATGCTAGGGTTTCATACACTG